TCTAGGTTTGGAAAATTTTTTTTTTTATGCAAGGGGTTATTTTATTTTTTTAACAGCTGCAATTAAAAGAAACTAATTCTAATCACTGAATAAGTTAATAACTTAATGTTTAGTACTGTATTGTCTAGAATAGACAATCAGCGCTGCACTTACTTCATCTTTTAGCCATTACCATCCAATCCGAAGCCAACTGGCCAGCCTGTCGCGCATGCGCACACGAGTCGAACCTCAATACAAGGTTCGTCGAACTTTCCGCTAAAAGTTCGAAAAAGTCGAACCTGGTCGAACTCGAACCGCGGCCGGTTCGCGACACCCCTATTTGCGGGACACACACGGAACTACAGCAGCGAAACCACGAGGATCTTTCTCGACGTTTTCGACGTTATGAAAATCGCGGGAACTGCGTCCAAGGCAGGCAAGTTTTCCTGCCGGCTGCCTGGGTGCCTTGCGTGCTGAGTTCGGTTCTGTTGTCCCGTGCCGAGTGCCAACCGGCGTTCAACGTGATTCTGTATTTCTGCGTGTCAGCAACATCGTCAACGTGGTGCTGTATTTCTGCGTGTCAGCGACATCGTGATGGCAGTGTTGTGGCTTGTGAACAGAAGACTGGAATTATCGCCGATGTGACCGTGTGTTCGCGTATCAGTGGTGTAACAACAAGATGAGATGACGTAAACTGTCGGGCATTGATGCCGCTGGTCGGGCCGTGATCGGAGGGGGCGGGGTTTCGCAGGATGACATTCCGCTTTACATTAAAGAGTTTAAAACCACTTGAGGGATTAGGTGCAGTCGATCGACGTGTGGATAGTCATGTTGGAACGCTGGCCTGAACGGTAAGCTCCTATCGTACAGTGGCCAATGTGACTGTCAGTCCCCGAGAGCGATTGCGCTCTGGGGAAAAGACTGAACAGTACGAAAGTATGACGGAAAGTACGTATATTTACAATGGAAGTTTAGCATAAAAAAAAAACAAACAGGTAAATCGAAAAAAAAAACGCTATCCTTTATTTTACTGTTTAAATATATTACGGTTCCTGTAGAAACTGCCCTCCAAGTGGCGCGCTGGGATGAGCTCTAGAAGGTTTAATGCTCGCAACGGCGTAGCTAGGTACACTTAACAGTTGCCGCAAGTCGCGGCTTTGACTGCATTCAAGTTGATCGAAAAGCGATTTCTCTGCCCGTGAAGCATCACTTCCAGCTGAGTGAATATCCGCTCTACAAAGATTAATTCAAGACGGCAATTGCAGCCGTGCGCGAACAGCACAAATAGAAAAACAAACACTACAATAGAAATACTGGCTACGAAGGGCCGTGCGGGAAAACAAACTCATGGCTTGGAACCACATTGGAGCGGATCGATTTATTGGCTTTCAAATAATTACGGCATGATCGAGCGTTTTCTTTTTAATAAGAGATTCATCCCCTGAGTTATTAAAAATAGTCTCATATGTATGACATTGCTGGAAAAAAATGAACATGTTCGGAATATTTTTTATTGCTTAGGGAGTCACCGAAAAATTCCGCACGTTCAAAACGACCAGTATAAAAGACGGAAACGCAGGGCTCGGGAGTAGTGATAGGGGTAGTGTGCTGTTGTATTGATGTTTGTGTGTGCGGTACCTGTGTATGCGCTCTATATATGTTTACCTGATGCTTGCAGTGTGCGTAACGTGTCTACATGTGTTGGAGATTCCCGAAGAAAAAAAAAAACGGAATTGTGGCGTCAGAAAATAAAAATATATTTTTTTTTGTAAAACATGAATTGGTCGGTACCTAGCGCCACCTAGCCTATCTACTTGCGATTACTCTGCTTGACCCTGCCATCTGGTGGCAAGTGATTTAACATCCTTTAAGCTACGCGGCTACGCTGGCTACGCTATAATTTCGTGTTACCGTGCTGAGGTAAGCGAAGAGGTGAGATTAGCGCGTAATTCAAAACCGCAGGGGCGTCTGCGCTTACTACTTCAGAGGAGGGCGCCCAGGGCAGCTGAACGGAAAGGACGTGCTTCATGTCGGCTCCGTCAATTTTCGCAAATTAGTGCGGCGCCGTGACAGTTTATGCAAGTTTGCTGACCTCAGCGTCTTCGTGAAGTTCTGTGGATCACGGGGAAGTGAAGTTTGTCCCGGTGAGTCGAGTTTTTGCGATTTTTCTGGACTTTATCTGTATTGAACCCACGAGAGGCGTTAAGCCTAACGACGTCCTTGGAAGAAGCTCGGTCGCCGGCGTCAATGGCGTCGGCGGCTAAGCCTAACGGCGCCGGCGAGGTGGTCGGCATGGATGACGAGACGGTGGCGGACGGACAGGACGGATGGATCCGGGTAGGAAGACGCGGAACGAAGACGGCACGACCGGCGGAAGCAAGAAGTTGCGGCAAAGTTGTCGACCGTGTGATTCGAGCGAGTCGCATGCCCCGTTTTGGAGTACGAGGGGACACCAAGATCATCGTTAGGCCCCGCGGGGGCTTGGATTTAAGAAGGGTCTCAGACGTAGCTCTGGCAGCGGCTGTCAAGAACGCGGCCGGTGTAGAGCTCCCAGCGGCAAGTGAAGACCTGGTGTGTATCAACGGCACCCAGAACGTGATTGTAATAAGCTGCTCGTGTAAGGAGCGCGCAAGGAAGTACGTCGGAATCACGGCCCTGAAGATGGGTGATACCCTGTACGAGGCACGGGCTTACGCGACAGTCCCCGAAGGATGTGCAAAGGGGGTAATCCGCGGGATACCCTTGACGCACACGAGGAAGCAGATCGAAGAGGCGCTGCTTGGTCCCAGGAATCCGTCCCTTATCGCGGCGGAGCGCATCGGTTCATCTGGTGCTGTGATTGTGGTGTTCGAGGGGGAGGTGGTCCCATCTCGCGTGGTCTACGATAGCGTTGTGCTGCGGTGCACCTTATACCGAAAGCACTACGAGGTATGCCGAATCTGCGGGAAAGTCGGGCACCGGGCGGACGTCTGCCCGACCCCAAGCGCTCGTCGATGCCTGGGATGCGGCAAAGACCCAACGCCCGGACATGAGTGTATGGCCAAGTGTAAGCTGTGTGGTGGTCCGCACGAGACTGGGGACAGAAGGTGTAAGAACAAATTTCGTGAACCTTACATTGTTCGTAGTAGGAAATGGGAAAGGAGCCAGATCGGGGCACGTGCGCGTAGCCCCTCGATCCCTCGGTTTACTGGTGGCGATTTCCCCGCCGTAGGTAGGGGGCGCTCAAGCTCCGTGGAGTCGCGTACCTCGCGGAGCCGCAGCCGTAGCACAGGCCGCCAGGTGTCGTGGGCTCAGGTTGCTGCAAAAAAAAGCCCTCTACTGGGAAGGGTAGTAAGGATAATGAACTAATGGAGAAGATGAAAGTCATGGAAAGGGAACGGCAAGAGCTGATTCAGACAAACAAAGAGTTAAAAGCAATGGTCGAGGCGCTAACGCGTAAGGTAGACCAGATGGAAATATCGTCTGACGCGAGCGGTAATAGCCCGCCTATGAAGCGTAAGGTCGTGGGGGATAAGGCCAAAGCCGTCGGAATCGCGGCAGGAAAAGAGCAGGTGCAAGGCCAGGTAGACTGGGAAAGAAGGTTCGGGGTTTTGGAGCAGAGTATGGCCCAGATAATGTCTAAATTGGAACACGTCTGCAGGTGTGTGGACGGTATCAGAAGCAGGGTCGAAAAGCTTGAAAACAGGAATGGATAGTTTGCTCATATGGATTTGGAATTGTAATGGATATGGAAACAAGAGGGCCAGGTTGCAACAATTTCTCAGGAGTAGGCATCGCAAACCAGACGTTATCTTGATGCAGGAAACTGTGATTGAATGTGTAACCCTACCGGGATATGTGGCATACAGGGCGCAGGGGGGGCCCCCTGGTAGAGTCAGGGGAGTTTGTACGTTTGTAAGAAGAAAGTGGCCGGTGTTAGTACACTGTATGGATGGGGATGAAAATGTAGAAAGAATCGCAGTAGAGGTCCTCGTGGGCAGGGTGGGAGTATGCGTATGCAACATTTATAGTAACCCCCACTTTAGACGGCAAAGGTTCAGTAACATTCTGCACGGTGCGGTCCGCTGGGCAGACGGAAGAAGCTTAGTGGTGGCCGGGGACTTTAACGCTAGCCATGAAACTCTAGGACATGGCCACAACACTAGAAAAGCTTTGAACCTTTTCTCAGACGCGGAGGAAGTGGGGTTAATGCTGGTTACGGATCCTGGCCTGCCCACACGGGCTGCGCGGCATTTTGCTGATAGGGATACAACTCCTGACCTGGTCTACGTCAATGACGCTAGGATCTCATGGGAAAACCTAATGGAAGATCTCGGCAGCGATCACCGGGTAGTGGAGATTGAGGTACCATTGAGGGAGAAACCGCGGCAGTGGAGAGTAAAGGGCCTGGTCAATTGGGACCTTTTCAGGGCTTTATGCCCAAGCGGCCCCATTGAGAACGTTGAAGCGTGGTCGAGGGAACTGACGAATACGGTTGAAAGCGCGAGAAGGGAAGTGAACCTTGATGAGGCAATAAATAATGCAGTAGGGGGCATAGTAGATAGCCGACTGATATCTTTATTAGAGGCACAGGATTCTATCAGGATGAGGTGGAGGGCAACTGGTAGGCGCAACAGAGCCCTGCGCAAAAGATTGGCTCAGCTTAATGGGGAAATCAGGAAGCATTGCGAAGCGCTGTCCCGTCAGCAGTGGGACGACGTGTGCGCGCGAGCGGAGGGCAGCCTACATTGTGGAGACACATGGCAACTACTTAGACACTTATTGAACGAGGACTCGACCAAGGCGGCAAAGGGCCGCAAGCTTAAGGAAGTGGTCGGCAGATCTGTAAGGGATCTGGGGGTACAAAAGGTCAAAGATTGGCTTAAGAACAAATTCCTGGGCAAAGGTGAGAAAACTTGTGGAGTACGGTACGAAGGGCCAGAGAATCCAGAGTTGGACAAACCATTCGAGATGTGGGAGCTTAGGGCGGCACTAACTAAAGCTAACCGTCGCTCAGTTCCGGGATTGGACGGGATCAGTAATTCGGTCTTGTCAAATCTATCAGATGAGGGACTAGAGAAACTATTAGACCTGTACAACAAGGTGTGGGAAGAGGGAGCCCTCCCTGAGCCCTGGAAAGTAGCAAAGCTGGTGCTAATACCCAAGCACAACAAGCCGCCGGACCTGGAACACCTCAGGCCAATTTCCATCACCTCGTGTGTATGTAAACTCCTTGAACATATGATCCTAAGGAGATGGCAAGCGTTCTTGGAAAGCAAAGGGTACTTTCCGAGCTCAATGATCGGCTTCCGCGAGGGTCTGGGTGCACAAGATGCCATGCTCATCATAAAACACGAGGTGGTGGAAAGCAAGAAGCCCGGGGTGATTCTAGGTCTGGATCTAAAAAGTGCGTTCGATCGAGTAACCCATGAAGCCATCCTAACCGGAGTTAGCAAGGCGGGGCTAGGGAATAGAAGTTTTGCCTTCGTAAAGGATTTCCTGTCTAACAGGAGAGCTAAATTGGTGGCCGGGGATCTGGAGGTAGGCGAAGGGAACCTAGGTAATGCTGGCACACCACAGGGTTCAGTGATATCTCCTGTGTTGTTCAACATAGTGATGGTGGATGCAGTACGTGCTCTACGTCGGGAAGGAATACCACATGTAGTATACGCCGATGACATTACTATGTGGTGTCTAGACAAACGACGCGAGGTTGTGAGAGGGACCCTGCAAAGAGGTATCGAACTGGTGGAAGAAAACTTAGAGGGAACGGGACTGGTGTGTGCACCAGAAAAATCTGAGTACTTAATGTGTCAACAACATCGAAGCTCGTGGAAAGAAGTATTACTGTACGCGGACGGAGGGTTGATACCGAAAGTGCCTACGCTTCGGGTGCTGGGTTTGGTGTTACAAGAAAAGGCGGGCAACTCCGCCATGCTAGACAGGCTGAGGGCAAAGGTCCTGGCAGCCATGCGATTAATACAGAGGGTCTCCAGTAGGAGACGAGGCATCAGAGAAGAGGGAGTGTTGAGGCTAGTCCAGGCTTTTGCCCTCAGCCATATCATGTATGTAGGGCCATATCTCAAATGGTGGAAGGCCGAGCTAAACAAGCTGGATGCGATGGTGCGGAAAGCTTGCAGAGCCGGTTTGGGGGTGCTCTCTTTCACGCATAACGCCGACCTGGACGCCCTTGGGGTGCATAACTCGGTGACCGAGATGATTGAGGCACACCGAGAAGCTCAGGAGTTAAGGCTTGCCGGTACTGCGGCTGGACGAGAAATTCTCGCCCGAGTCGGCGTAAGTCGTGGAAACACCGGACTAGCTGAGTTACCCAATGAGACCATGAGATGTGTGAAAGTGCGCCCGATCCCGAGACACATGCACCCCACGAGGGACGCTGGGCGTCGTGCGGCCAGAGCGCAAGCTCTGGAGCGACTGTTCTTGAAATCTGGAGGAGCGGTCTGTGTTGATGCAGCTGTACGTGATGGAGTTGGGGTGGCGGTTGTCACGGATCTGGCCACCGGGGAAATCAAGACGGCCCTGAGTGTTAGGGGCGGAGATGTTTGTGTAACAGAAGGAATTGCCATAAGCCTAGCGGTTTCCCTGCCAGGAGTTAAAGCAGTGCTAAGCGATTCGATGACTGCGGTGAGGGGGTACGCGCGCGGTCGTGTTCCGCCTCTAGTCGCCAAGCTGTGCAAACCTCGTAACGAGGTGGAAGTGGTGTGGACCCCTGCGCACATGGGCGGCAATGTCGCTCCTGACCGAATGGCCCGAGAGTTATTAGGCCGGGCTTTCGGTGGGGCGGCGGTGTTCGCTCCGGTGGGCTACGGGGAAGTATTACGAGCGAAACGAGAAGCGCGGCGGGTGTATCCCCCTCCGCACGAGAACCTAAGCAGAGAGGAAGCCGTCCTTCTAAGGCAGCTTCAAGTGAAATGCATCTTCACGCCGGTGTTGGGCCGGTATGTGGCTCCGGACGTGTACAGAACGGATGCGTGTGTTATATGTGGGGAAAAGGCTACGGTCATGCACGTGTTGTGGGACTGCAGTCCGGTAGGCGCGCCTGGAACGTTGCCTGAGATGTTGGACGCCGGAGTCAAGGATACGACACTGGAAGGACAGCGAAGGGCCGTTCAGAAGGCTCGGGAACTGAGGGACAGGCAGGTCCGCAACCGGGCCCCCTGCACCCTTACCCCGGGTGGGGCTTTCGGCCTCCCCTAGCCAGATGGGCTAGCTTTTGAAGACAAATAAAGACGTTTATTCCTCCTCCTCCTAAGCGAAGAGGTTGCTTCGGATTTGCTTTTTTTTGAGAGCGGCTTTTGGTTTTGCGGGCGAATGATTTTCACTCCTCCGTGATGTGCGGTTGACGCAACGGTTGACGAAGGAATTGTGGCTCGAGGAATAGCAAAGGTAATACATAAAGTGCGCGAACTGGGTGCCGGTTGTCTCCGTTGAACATCGCAGTGCTGACGATGAGAAAGAAGACTGAGTGACTGCATGCTTTCGAAACGTAAGTTTCTTTACCTGCAGGGGTAAAAAAAACTTCGGAAATAAATACAGTTCGCGGAAAGCTCGTGTTACGTTTTTATTTGCTGCTCCTCTCGCTTCGTACGATAGACTTAGTGTTCTCGTTAAGCCTAGTCGAGCTCGATTTGCTCGATTCGTGGCCGCCATAATGAGAAGCAGTCGACGGAGGAACTTTTGCTCCCCTGCTTAAGGGGCGAAAGTTTCTCCCTTCCTGAAGGAACATATGTGTCAAGAGCGTTCCTCCCTTTAGGGAGGACTATACTGACCCTTTTTTCTAAAAGTGTAGTTGCAGAAGCGGCGCAAAAACACGCGGCCGCCGGAACTAATTGCAGAAGCATCACGTCTCTCGTATCAGCAATATGTTCTGAAAACGTGCTGTTTTTCTAAAACTGTGCCTGATCCGGAAGCGGACTTCAGTGCAAGCGCCATTCACGCGAGACGAAGCGTCCCTGTAAATTCGGAAGGCTTGCCTTACATTCGTGAACACCATTCAGAAAGAGACATTCGAAGGAATGTCGAGTTGGATGAATTGTCTGAATCAGAGGAATCCGACGTTTCATCTTTCAAGGAAAAGCTGCGGCGATGGAGCGTAGCAGAGGCTGTTCCTCATGATACCGTTACAAAGCCGCTGAAGATACTGCACTCGCATTCTTGTTTCTCTGACCTCCCAACATGTGCCAGGGCACTTTTGTCTACACCAAGAGTCACTGATAATGTGAGGCCCATGGATTCCGGCCATTACTGCCATTTAGGCTTGAGTGAGGGGCTCCGGGCAGCGCTGCAACCTGTGCGCAATATACCGGATCCAATAATCCTTCATGTGAATGTAGATGGACCATTGACGAAAAGCACGCGGGATCAGTTCTGGCCCATTCTCTGCCAAGCTGCTAACTGTGAAGGCAGTGACCCATTTCCAGTTGGTGCCTATCATGGCCAGTGTAAGGCTCTTCAGTCAAATGTCTTCCTTAGACCGTTTGTGTCTGACCTGAAAGGTATTCTCTCTGAAGGCGTTGCTATTGGCAAGAGGGTCTTCCGAGTGCAAGTTGGAGCAATAATCTGCGATGTACCTGCCAAGTCATACATTCTTGGCATCAAAGGGCACAGCGGCTACTTCAGTTGCTCAAAGTGCACGACTGAAGGAGAATTTGTGCCAGGACGAGTGTGCTTATTTGAACTTGATGCTTTATTACGAACAAATGCTAGCTTTCGGCGTGCAGAGCAAGAGGACCACAACATCATGGAAACTATCTTAAAAGAACTTCCCATAGACATTGTTGACCTGATGCCACTTGACTATATGCACCTCATCTGTCTGGGTGTTGTGCGCAAGCTTGTACTCCTTTGGCTGAAACGTGATAAAACCTACCGCATTGGAAGTGCATCAAGAGATTCTGTGTCGGAAGCTAACATTGAAATGAGGCACTAGACTCTAAGAAAAAAAGGAAGGAAAAAAGTAGCAACGGCACGTCTTCCTCCCTCCTACTGGCGCGCCCCCAAGCGAAAACCAGAAAAGGGGAGGAACAAAACGTTTTTCTCCTTCTCCAGGCAGACGGGAGCAAGCTTTCGCCCTCCCTACTCATCTTTCGGTTTCGTTTTTCGAGCAGGTCGCGCACATTGTTTAATAAATAGCTGTTGAGTTGATTGAGCTTCAGCGGCAGCGAAGGCCGCCTGTAATTCCGTCTTCTAGTCTAAACGTGCAGAACATTTCGGTTGCATTGACGTTTTTATCACTAATTTTATCAAATGAGCAAACGAAGCCGACGAAGCCGCTAGAAACAGCGAAGTTCCGGAGCAGTGCCAGCAGCGCCACGTACACTGGGTAAGGTGGCCGTCTCCGGATTGCCGGGCTCACGCGGCACGAAACTACAGTGGCGAAACCACGCGGAACTGTTTTGACGTTTTCGACTTTATGGAAATCGCAGGAACTGCGTCCAAGACAGGCGGAGACAGGCAGGTTTTGCTGCCGGCTGCCTTCCGTGCTGAGTTCGGTTCTGTTTTCCGATACCGAGTGCAACCGGCGTTCAACGTGTTTCTGTATTTGTGCGTGTCAGCAACATAGCAACAACATGGTGATGGCAGTGTTGTGGGTTGTGAACAGAAGACGAATTATCGCCGATGTGACCGTGTGTTCGCGTATCAGTGGTGTAACAACAAAATGAGACCGTAAACCGTCGGGCATTGATGCCGCTGGTCGGACCGTGATCGGAGGGGGCGGAGTGTCGCAGGTTGACATTCCGCTTTACATTAAAAAGTTTAATACCACTTGAGGGATTAGATGCAATCGATCGACGTGCGGATAGTCATGTTGGAACGCTGGTCTGCGTACAGTGGCCAATGTGACTGTCGGTTGTCTCGTCCCCGAGAGCGATTGCGCTCTGCGGAAAGGACAACAGTACGAAATCGTGACGGAAAGTTCGTATATTTACTGTGTGGAATTTCAGCATTAAAAAACAATAGCAGGTAAGATCGAAAAAAAAAGCTACCCTTTATTTTGCTGTTTAAATATACTACGGTTCCTGGAGAAACTGCCCTCCAAGTGGCGCGCTGGGATGAGCGCTAGAAGTTTTCGAGCTCGCCACGGCGTAGCTCCGTACACTTAACACCTGCCGCAAGTCGCGGCTTTGACTGCATTCAAGTTGATCGAAAAGCGATTTCTCAGCCCGTGAAGCATCACTTCCAGCTGAGTGAATATCCGCTCTACAGAGATTAATTCAAGACGGCAATTGCAGCTTTGCGCGAACAGCACAAATAGAAAAACAAACACTACAATAGAAATACAGGCTACGACGTGCCGTGCGGGGAAACAAACTCATGACTTCGAACCGCATTGGACCGGCTTGATTTATTGCTTTCAAATAATTACGGCGTGATCGAGCGTTTGCTTTTTAATAAGAGATTCATCCCCTGAGCCATTCCAAATTCTCTCAGAGGTATGACATTGCTGAAAAAAAATCAACATGCTGGTAATATTTTTTATTGCTTATTCAGTCACCGAAAAATTCTGTACGTTCAAAACGACCAGTATAAAAGACGGAAATGCAGAGCACGGGTCTAGTGTTCGGGCTAGTGTGGTGTGCCGCTGTATTGATCTTTGCATGTGCCATGTATGTGTATGTGCTCAATGTATGTTCACCTGATGCTTTTTCTCTGCATAATGCACTGTAATGTGTGTATAGTAGAGGATCCTCATGCGCAATAGTGGCCTGAGAAAATATAATTATTTTTTGTAGAACATGAATTGGGCGGTACCTAGCGCCACCTAGCCTAGCAAGTTGCAATTACTCTGCTTGACCCTGCCATCTTGTGGCAAGCAATTTAACCTTCTTTCACGCTACACGATAAACAGCGGCTTCGGGATTGTTCTTTTGAGAGCGGCTTTTGGTTTCACGGATTGGTTTGACATTTCTCCGTGATGTGCGGGTGGCGAAAGAATTGTGACTCGAGGAACACCAAAGGTAAGACGCAAAGTGCACGAAGTAACTGTGTATCTGTTGTCTCCATTTAACATCGCAGTGCTGTCGACGAGAAGACCGAGTAACTGCTTTTGAAACGCAAGTTTCTGTACCTGTGGGGGGAATCTGGCTTCGGAAATAAACACAGTTCGCGGAAAGCTCGTGTTACGCTTTTATTTGCTGCTGCTCTCGTCCCGTACACGAGACGTAGCGTTTTGTTAAGCCTCACTGAGCCCGATTTGCTCGATTCAGGGCCGCCATAATGAGATGCAGGCGATGGAGGAACTATTTGCTCCCCTGCTTCAGGGACGAAAGTTTCTTTCTTTCTAAAGGAACATAGGTTACAAGACCGTTCCTCCCCTAAGGGAGGACTATCCATATCCTTTTTTCTAAGAGAGTGTGTACCACCAGACATGTCTCGGAAACCACGCAGCTTGTCCGACATTGATAAGTGGAAAGCGTCAGGATTTCGCTTGCTTGTACTTTACACGGGGCCAGCAGTGCTGAGGTCAAGGATCCCCAAGCCACTGATGGACAACTTCATGACACTTCACTGTGCAGTCACCATACTTTGCAGCCCATTACTTTGCAGAGAGCACTTAGGGTATGCAGAAAGGCTCTTAAGGCATTTTGTTGAGACCTACATAACACTATATGGTAGAGATGCAGTCTCTCGCGATGTTCATGGCTTGATTCATGTGGCAAACGACGTGAGAGTTCATGGACCTCTTCACAATTATAGTGCTTTCTTATTCGAAAATTACATGCGTAAACTCAAAAGCTATGTATGCAAACCAGAAAGGCCCTTGCAGCAAGTCTACGATCGGATCGTAGAAGAACGATTTTCGGTTGCATGTTCTGCTGTCAACACTGGAGAGTCAGCAGCGTCGACTCCAACCGTCGCTTTTGTATTCCTTGGAGGAGAAAGTTTCAAGCTGACAGCAAAGCATGAAGGTCGACCATTGCCGCTCGGATGCATTGGACCTCAGTACAAGACCGTGACGTTTCCTGTTGGCGTCACCATCAAAACAAACAAAAAAGACTGCACTTGCATGTTAACATATGAGTATCATCAAGGTTGAAAACATTGCAAGCGCTGCAGTGAACTATCAACCAGTGTTCGTTGGAAGGAAGTACCAGAGGCTAGAAGACCTTTACAGCTATCCCTGCGGTTCATCATTGCTGAACACCTACCTTGCATCTGAACTGTCTGACATTCACTTCCAGCCACTTTCAGAAATTGCAGTGAAATGTGTGAGACTCCCATTGGCAAAGAAATTTG